TTACGTCGATTTAAGGCTGACGATTCACCAGAATGCTGTCTCATTTGCTGGACGACCCGCTGTGAGGCAGTTGTTCGCGACTTGGCCACTGTAATGCGTGAAATGGACTTATTCGCCCTTTCTCAAGATCGTTACCACTGTATGTGGTGGCACGTATACGCACCCAAGGGACTTCAGTGGTGCGAATATGTAATGCCAAAAGCAGGTTGTGTCCGCAGGAACCTGGTAGGCCGCAAACTGGGCCTCACCGCGTGGTCAGCATAGGTGGCAAGCATTTCAGCCTGGAGCTTCCGCGTGTCACACACTGAAATGTCACGCAGCCATGATGGTATCAACACACGTGTCTCCGTTCGTATGCACGTATGTTCGTGATTTCTTTTACGAGTCCATCTCGGAGTCTTTTCCAAAACCCAGCCGTGCCACGGAAACAAGATTCCGCTACGGCGCCGGAACCAGTGACGACGCAGGCTACTGCTGGCGACTCATACGCGTCGAACGAATCTGACAGCCGTCGACGCCTCCAGAAGTCTTCATTGCCGGCCTTGATTGCCGGTGACCTTCATAGACAAAATCCGAACGCAAGTTTTGTGTCCTGCAGATCTCATTTATGATTCGAAAGCCTCTTTACAGCCAATTTTCATCAATATCCGGTGTCTCACCATCGAGCAAGTCCCAGGGATATGAACGGACATTTACACATGGGGTGGGGGGCGTAATCAGCGCTAGACAAACCAATGCTACGCATTTGTTAAATGAAGCTTGCCGTATTTTTGTACTTTTCATCTATTGTTAGACCAGACGCATGCGATTTCTGAATAGCAACGTCAGTTTTCTCGGAATGCTTCTGAATAGCTCAGAATTTGCATTAGAAGAAGTCGCTCCTGCGGGAGAAATCTTATTGAACTCTCAGTTCACAGCTAGGAGAGCAACATGTTCCATCTGCCTTGATGTTGCAACGTGTGTGTTCTGTAATGTTTGCAACACACTGATTTGTAGAAATGATTATGTAAGGAATGCTGGGAAAGATTGGAACACTATTGAAACGAAAAGATATGCGAACATGAAGCTATTATCCCTCGAATTCAATGAGTAGTTATACTTACGTAAGCTGTTAGGCGCATTTGCGAGGAATGTCAGGCATAGGGACAGCGTAGTAATAGCCTTGTTCTCTCAGAGAAAAAAAAACAGGAGAATGGAGAGATAGATGCGTTTATATTTCGGCAACATGCCTTTATCGAAATGACTAACGGGAGTGACTACTGTTATTCGTTTCGATAAGGACATGCTGCCGAAATATCGACGCATCTATCTCCCCATTCTCCTGTTCTTTCTACGATGAATCAGACCATTGCTACTGTCTTACCTATAACAGTTATGCTTTGGCTTTGAATTCTCCCCTAGAAGTCAAGGATATGCCATCATTGACCCTACACTTAAAACACACGGTGTAGCGACGATGGCACACCCTGTAATCCCCATGGCGTTTACCACAGTGCCTCTTTTCGAGACGCACCTTGGCGTTGGAAGCAGGAGCATCACGTAGTTCATAGTGACGCAGGGCAATACAACACCGGGTACTCCAAAGTGTTTTGACTAGTAGGTGTCGACACATACTATACGTATACCAGAATCGGGATTAACACCAGATTTAGGATGTTGTACCAACAGTTGGCAGTGCTATGCTAGCGGCATCTTTGGTTTGTTTGTGGCGATTAAGTGTAATCACATTTCTCAGTCGCAAAACCGTTAGAAAATCGTTAGATAGCTTTGCGCAAAACACTTGAATTGTGGTGCGGTGTTGGGGATGGTTGTTGGGGGATCAGGTTGTGTTCAAGTAATTTCAGATGCTTCTGGGCTAATCAGATGTGTGTTGTTCTTTGCCACGTCACACCATGTCTCAGTTTACATATAATGGCTTATTTAAATATTCTGGAGCAAAGCTGATAATGTAATTATTCATTACAGCACGACTTGCCAGTTATGAATGTTGTGGCCTAGGCTACCGGCTGTTGAATGCTTGTGGAATACTGCATGCGAGGTGATTGGCCAAGGCGTGCTCAGGTATATTTATGTTGGAGCTGAGGGTCTTGTTATTTTTTAATACATGAATATTGAGACTGTTGTCTGATTGGCATTTTAATATTCCACATAAGCATTGATAGCCTTTGTCCACAGTGACAATGACACCCATGAAATGGGCCAACCAGTAATTATGTCAGTTCAGCACAGCTGTGTGATTGCGTTAGATGTGTTTATTGAGACATGAAAGGCACTGCAATGTTACAGAAGTGTTTGGTATGATGCGATGTTGTGCACATACCTGATATGACATTTCACCAAAGGAGTTATCTGCCTGCACTGTTCAGAAAAGGACAGCATGTTGTATTTATATAAAAATGTGCATAACTGGGGCATAGTTTTGGGGTCTATTGATTTTATTTCATCTAATTAATCTAAGGTCCATTGATAGTTTGTATTGCCTTGAGCAAAGGCTGCATATGTTTCAGATACTGATGAACCTTTTAAATCTGCCTAAGCTGCCCATTTCACTTCAGCTGCTTAGGTGTACCTTTCCTACTCTGAGATCAATGGATGAAAGTTAAAGTTATAAATTACAAGGCTTGCTGAGGAATAACAAAATTATGTCATATTGAAGCTCCAAATATTTATTTTGCAGGTTTTGTGATGTGAGAGCAAGATTTTTCAGGTCAATTTATTGAGTGGAGCCAATGATAAAATGCTTGTATTCACCTCATGCCAAAAAACCCTTTGTGCAAATGGTTTTAGGGAGCATGGTTACTTCGGCCATAGGTCTGTCAGGTGTTTAAGCTCTTCAAGATCAATCAAAGAAGTTTTCAAATTTTGTCATATCAGGGCCTTTGTGCAGTACAGCTCGCCATTATGGCACTTACCGTTATAATGCTTGCCATCCCACTTTTAAGCACAACTGCTTTCCAATCAGCGGTGCTTGCAATGTAACTATGCTATTGTTGCTGCGCTGGTCCTGAGGTGGCACTGCCGGCCCTTCACAGCAGTGGCCGCCAGCATCACAACTTAAGAACCTAACACAGTGCCTGGCCCTACCTCTGGGCGCGTTGGACGGCCAGCTTTGGACCGCTACCGTCGCGATAGGTTCCATACGTCAGGCACAATAATGTTATGCGCCCCAGCCATAGGCTGTTGCACGTAGCCCGACGGCTGCATAACGCCTGCCAGGTATATTTGATAGACACAAAAATATCTTATGTGTATTCCTTGTAATAGCTCGCAGCACATTTCACAGCACAGCAGATGCATCTTCAGGCTATACATAATATGCATACATATGGATACCATATATATATATATATATATATATATATATATATATATATATATATATATATATATATATATATATGGTCTGAAGAACGTCATTTTAACATGGGAAACCTATGGATAGTCGTGAAATGTGCGCCGTTGCTGCCATATTTTGTACTAGACTTTAGACCCCTCCCCCCCATAGTAACGCATTGGTTAAAACTTAAACCAATGCGCTCCCCGATAACAAACCCTTGCTGCTCGCTGGGCCAATCACAAACGTTCTTTTATTCTCACCACTGGAGGCGCCACCGCGGCTGTCGTGACGAGGACAATAACGACAACCGCAGGGAGGAAGCGTAGTGCTGTGACAAAGCGTTGACAGTGTAATTTGACTCCAAAATCATTAAAACTGATGTCCTTGTCATGCGCTGAGGGTGATGCAATGGCACTTACCAGTGCTATTAAAGTACGCAAGGTCCTGATCCTGAGATTTCACTGGAGTATGTTTTTTTAATATGCGCAAGAGGTGAAACACTCCATTTTAGGAAAGTGGCCACTTCCTCGCAGGGAGCCATAGCTAACTTACCAGCTTGTGTTAGATGACAGTAAGTGTCGCGCGTGTGTTTAAACGGCAGCGCAAGAAAGCACTCTGGAGGGCTGGATGAGTTCGATGTAAAGCACTGGGCGATAAGATAAAATACACTTTTTGCGATCATTTGAAAGCATCCAGAGAAGTTTTAGACCTTGACAAAATGATCGGAAAAATACTAGTTATAAAATTTGAGCAACTTAAGCACTCTGTAATGAATGTTACGTGGAACGAAGCAGCTGAAAATCGGAAATATCCCAGCTTTTTATCTCTGAAGCAATTCACGTTTACTAACACTTGTAGTATAGCTTGTATCACTTTGTGAGTTGTAACGCTTCATGCTCGATTGTTGGCCAATTTGTGCAGCGTTCAGACCTTATCCGCCTCGCACTTGGGTGTGGGACAGGTTCCAATGGGAAGCTTATCACCATGAAAGAAACAAAACATGATGCCGGATATAACAGTCAAAATCTTGCCTAGTTGTACACACTCTGAATCTGAATCCGTCTGGCAAGCTACACTCTGCACAAAGGCGTGCCATTATTGACCGTACACTTAAAACACACGGTGTAGTGATAGTGGCGCACCCTGTAATGCACAGTTCCTGTACGTAAATAAAGTCCCAGGGTAGCATGGGAAGCCATATTGTCAACGAACTTCCGTGTGGTCCTTTGAAAGCGCCACTCAATCACTGTATCTATATTGTAAATGCTGTCTTACCCAATTCTGCTCTTGTTACACCAAACACGGAGGTGCAGAAAGAATATCATCCACCTTAAATGCATCATCGAAGACGTGTTGAAACATTTTTGTGCATATGTGGTCGTTTATTTGCACAAAATTGTGGGACATTACAGACGTACAAATATGTGGCCACGCAGCTCCGATGGCTTACAGAAGTGCCTGCTTGGCGTGTTTAAAACCAGTATAAAGCAGCCCCGGCCTGTATCTGTCTGAAGCCAGCCCCATATTGGCGACAGTGTTACATCGCACCACCGCTACATCTAACCCACGCCTTACATCCGTCAAGTCCGGAAAAGGCGGAAGATGTGCCATCCGGGCAAACAGAGACCTCGATCGGCCAGGTGTGACTTAAGGCGGCGGGACTGATATTGGCGGGGCAAAGATAAGCTCTCGCGGATGACTAAGGTCCCGGGCAGCTAACAGAGCGCTTACAGGTACTCAAACGTCTCCTGGCTGGGCAATAAGGGCAATTCATTCGCACTCACGCGTGTTCTCTTGCCATTCTCGTGCCTGGCGCAGACCAACTGCTGGCAGCAGCCGGGGAACGCCTTGCGCCTGTCTCCGACCGCGATCCGGCAGAACAGGTGACGCGCGTGCATGTCCTTGAAGTCCACCAATTTGCGGACGTCGTTACATCTGTGGACAACAGTCGGTGAATCAAGCTCATGAGCTGCTGCTTATTCTCAGTTAGCTTCTCTACCAGCGCTTTTGCTGATATCCCAGGCTTTCACCGAAATTACGGTTTCCCATATCACAGCCAATATGGGCTATCTTATAAAGGCTCTTATAGCACGGGGGAGATTTATCTTAACGTCTCGCTTTGTCAGCTTGGAAAATATGCCACAAGGCACTTGGCCATGACACTTTGTGAGGTCAAAAGAAAGGAATCATGCCATCTATTCATCCATTTTGCAATTTTACATGAGCAGAAATCGGTAGCACATACTCAGCCACAACGAAAAATACACGATGGTTATGTCTAGAGGGTTTAACCAATCATTGACAATTTCAGAGCTGTGAACTTAAGCAGAAAAGCAGGAAGTGGCGAAGGACTGTAGCATGATCCGTTATCCCCTTTGAAGGGGCTCGCTCTGCACAGGGACCACACGTCGGTGTAGGTATCGGTGCTCTGGCGGGATGAGCTCACAACCAGCCCAGGTAGTCGCGAGGCGATCACCCCAGGTAGTCTCGAGGCGATCACCCCAGGTAGTCACGAGGCGACCACCCCAGGTAGTCACGAGGCGACCACCCCAGGTAGTCTCGAGGCGATCACCCCAGGTAGTCGTGAGGCGATCATCCCAGGTAGTCTCGAGGCGACCACCCCAGGTAGTCACGAGGCGACCACCCCAGGTAGTCGTGAGTCGATCACCCCAGGTAGTCGAGAGGCGATCACCCCAGGTAGTCGTGAGTCGATCACCCCAGGTAGTCGTGAGGCGATCACCCCAGGTAGTCGTGAGGCGATCATCCCAGGTGGTCGCGAGGCGACAACCCCAGGTAGTCGCGAGGCGATCATCCCAGCCAGTCGAGAGGCGACCACCCCAGGTAGTCGTGAGGCGATCACCCCAGGTAGTCGTGAGGCGATCATCCCAGGTGGTCGCGAGGCGACAACCCCAGGTAGTCGTGAGGCGATCACCCCAGGTAGTCGTGAGGCGATCACCCCAGGTAGTCGTGAGTCGATCACCCCAGGTAGTCGTGAGGCGATCACCTCAGGTAGTCGTGAGGCGATCACCCCAGGTAGTCGTGAGTCGATCACCCCAGGTAGTCGTGAGGCGATCACCCCAGGTGGTCGCGAGGCGACAACCCCAGGTAGTCGTGAGGCGATCACCTCAGGTAGTCGTGAGGCGATCACCCCAGGTAGTCGTGAGGCGATCACCCCAGGTAGTCGCGAGGCGATCACCCCAGGTGGTCGCGAGGCGACAACCCCAGGTAGTCGCGAGGCGATCATCCCAGCCAGTCGAGAGGCGACCACCCCAGGTAGTCGCGAGGTGATTCAGGGTTGCCAGCTACAGCACCCAAGAAGCCTTCGCGGGTATTATTTCCTGTGCTCAGTCGGCCCCCCTACCCATGGTGCTGTGCCCATAGTCACCCACTAAGCATTTTCAATGAGTTGTACTCACCTATTGTTGCTTGTATTTTCCAGCACTTTAGCTCTATATTATGGAGAACTCTGTAAAAGCTTACATCGAAGCTTCTCTTTTGCGTAAGTATTGCGATTAAGCAGCCTGAGGGATGCCAGTTGTGACATAGTAGACAGGTGGAGACTGTAGCACTGGAATTTCTTGAAGTCTCTACCCCACGGTTCGTGAGCGTCTTACCGCTCCCTCGTATCAGCCGTATCCACCGCCATCGCCCATACTGATACCATCCAGATACCATCTGGATACCATCCAGAACCACAGTCAACAGTTTTACAAACTGGGAGGATATGGACAACCATGCTCTCTAACCGATGCAATCCCGACTTCCTCTAGGCAATCCCCAATTCCCCTAAACATTTGCAGCCCAGTCCCCTGCTTACGCGATGCGGTCTATGAAGAGGGTGCCCTTCTCCTTGACACACTTGCTCATTTTGCAGTTTGCGTTTTTGGGACCCCATTCCTCGCCGATGTTGTAAAAATTGTCCACCGCTGGATCGTAGCACTCGTTCTTGTGCTCTGTGGACAAACCGGAGTTGTAAGGTTCGAACTCGACCTGGCTTATGACACTTGTGTTGGCGGACGGACACAGGTTTGTGTGAACATATATATATATATATATATATATATATATATATATATGCCAACATCAGTTGCTGTTTGCTGGTTTTCCGATCGCCGGCTGGCGAACCCGGCTTCGGCGACTGGCCGGCTGGGCGACTTTGTCTCCAGCTGATCAGCTGGTCAGCGGCAGTTAGCTGGTTAGCTAGAAATTGTTAATGACTTGTGCAGGGTCCCAGAATTGGCTTGGCCGTTGGATGTGAAATGAAAAAAACAACATTCTCCATCTTTGCAAGGGTGAGAACACAATTTCAACTTTATCCAGGAATCGAAAACAAAGCCGATTCCCCAAGATCCCAGTACACAGCTCGGAATATACTTATGACCAAAAAAAGTGTCCAACTTCATCACGAAAAACACACCAAACGACGCAGACAATTAGAATACGCCATCGCAATCTATGAACTCCAATGCCTGAATGCAGATTGTAGGCTGTGTGATATTATCCGCATTGGCACAACAACAACCCTGGCAATGCTGCATTTACAGGTCGGTACTCCTAAACATCACTTCCAGAAAGCATACCAACAAAGCCTAACGCGACAAATGCCCACACTTAACACCAGAATGCTGCTTCCTGTAATGAAGTACGCCGGCTCTCCGTATTACAGGTATCCTATATAAGAGGAAACAATTCAAACATGAGCAGAGTTGAAATCTTGTATAAATCTTGCTGTCTCGTATGGGACGGCAAGCTGACATGTGGGAACTGGTCCCCAGTCCCTAATATGCCTACTGACTGTCATATTTTGGCATGCTTTTCATATATTTTCGGATGGCGGTTTTTGCATGCGAAGCAATATTGTGCGGTTTTTTTCAAATTTGTGCGAACCTGATTATTTAAAAGCTTCGAAATATGCTTCGCCAGACGATAGATAGCGCACCTCTAAAACTTTGTGCCGGAGGTAAATGTGTATGCTTGTCATAATTGCAATATGTATGTCAATTCTCGAAAATAGCAGCTATGAGTTACTCATAAGACTTATAGATATTCCTCGATATCTTGACATTTCCAGACCTTATCTCATTGTTGGAAAGCACAACTGGCACGAGTGATCAAGTCTTGAATTTCGTTTGGACGAGCGTCATGCACCTCTGTCTTTATAGCACGTTTGGGCGCTGACACTACAAATATTGTTATGGTTACTGGGAGATATCCAACATACATGATGAAAACAAAAATGCTAAAAGTCACATAGGATAATCAATCAGTATCATCGAATTTTGTCACTTCCTATGCATTTTATACACATTCAAGCAACCATAGAAATATTTTGTCTTCTCCGTACCAAAAACGCTAAAAATATAGAATTCAGAACTGTCATAATTTCGTTATTGAGGGCTAAACTGAACCTTGACACAGGGTTGTCTGACAGTTTTGTAGTGTGTTTAAAGCCCCGTTTCCTAAAATCGTTAGTCAGCTATACAGATTAGACCCGGTCAAGATATGAGCCGGTCAAGAAAGAATCGGATGGGCGGTTTGCTTAGGATGAAAGCTGATTCATTTATCAAGCGGGACCAACTCGAGGTTCCACCCACGCCCGCAATCACTCACCTGTGGGATTATTAGCCCTCAACTTACAAGTGGAGGCAAGCTTCCATCAGCTTGCACGCATACTTTATTCAAAAACAAATTCCCGTCTCAGGTATGTAATCTGTATGCTTTCCGTAGGTGGTGTCACATTATGTTACTGACTTTTATCACCGGAAACAACTACGTTGAAGCCTTTGTTGACTTGCAGAGAACAAAAATTACGACACGTGTCTCACCTGGCGCAACTGGGATGCGAATATATCTGTGCACTTGCTGGCCGAGCGTCAGCTGGACGGTCAGCGCAGTCACGATCAGGTAGGTCCACATGGTGCCGGCCGTGCTGGAGCGATGCTGCTGTGAGTCAGCGGCGCCGGCCGGGCCGCTCTTTATAGCACGCGCCGCTGGGCCGCCTCCGCGCGCTCGGTGACGCGCTCTAATGCCCATTGGATCGGAGCGAGGGGGCCGGGCTTAACTTGAGCCGACTTAACGTGCCGTTGGAGCCACGTCACACGGACTGATCCCGAGCGGTTTGTCACGCAGGTGATTTGCTACCGAGGACTGGCATCGGGAAAGGTCACGCCGAGGAGCAAAAAAAAACAGGATGTGTCAGGAATCGATCCTGCTGCTGGCTGAAGGCTGTTGGACGCATGCGCTTGTCGTAAGACTGTTTATGTGCCGCTATTTCGGTGTCCTGCTACCGCATTCTACAGGTTCCCTAATGCCCAGATTTGTTCAGAAAAGATCTTAGGTTTCTAGAAAATGTCTGGATTCCATGGAAGACGAAACCGGCCTTTGAGTAAATGGAATTCTCCGGTTAAAAAAATTGGCATATGATCGAGCGATAACATAATCAAGACCACGATCAACAAAGACACTTAGCTTCAAGAGTTTACCATATAACTTAGGTGATTGATCACAGCATCAGTCGGCATGAGCTGACGCCTGACAGCAGCTAAGATTTAGCGCCTTATCGGTACAGGTCGTGCGCCGGTTACAGGTCTGACCGGTGAGTTTAATTTAGTACCAGTGCGCAGACAATGATGTCATGGTTGCTGCTGCGTATGCGGCCAGACAGCAGCCGGCGCAGTCCGGTGACTCGGCTGTCGGCCGGTGACGTGGGAATGCCTCTGGGGGGCACGGCCCAGCGCCCCGGACGCTCAGCATCTCATTATCAGCATCCCCGGACGCTTAGCACCTCACTGTCAGCATCCCCGGACGCTCAGAACCTCACTTTCATCATCCCCGGACGCTCAGCACCTCTCTGTCATCATCCCCGGACGATCAGCACCTCACTGTCATCATCCCCGGACGCTCAGCACCTCACTTGCATCATCCCCGGACGATCAGCACCTCACTGGCATCATCCCCGGACGCTTAGCACCTCACTGTCAGCATCCCTGTTTCGGGCCCGGGATCGACAGGCAGCCAGCGAATACCAGGGGTGCTTCTAATTCCAGGCAGGCTTTCTTGCTTTCTTGATGTGTGTTGACGAATGTGACCTGCAGTGCTTGGCCTTGTGGAGTGATAGTCTGGTGCGCTTTCTGCGAAGATAGCTTTGCAAGAGATGACCTGCGTCCTTCTGGGTTGGCTAGTTGACAAACTACTCAAGCAATTTCGCATCAGGCATACTTGCTCCCACCCCCCCCCCCCCCCCCCACCCCATTTTTCTCTTTTGCCTTCCCTTCCCACTTAACAGCCAGATGCTTTTCGTGTATCTGGGAGATACAAGTTGTGCAAGCGTCAAACAATCAAAGACCTGCCGGAAAGCTCGAGCAATGAATACGTGTGTGTATGTGTGTGTGTGTGTGTGTGTGTGTGTATGTGTGTGTGTGTGTGTGTTTATAACCATATATATATATATATACATATATATATATACATGTATATATATACACATGTATATATATATATGTATATATATATATATATATATATATATATATATATATATATATACCATAACACACCATCAATCGTATGAGTAATGCTATGTCCGTTCAATAGCTCAGCCGGTTAGAGCAGTTGCCTTTTGCTTGCGGGGTGAAAAAAGTTTCTGTTTTACCAGATATGGTAGGTGACAGAAACTGAGGCGCTCAACAGACAATAACAACTTGCAACAGAATATCCCGGCTAGCTGAAACTCAAATCTTGATATTGGTCTGTACTCGCTAACGCTTGCAACGTGAGCGTGTGCAGAGCACATGTCGAAACGTTAATGTTTCGCTATATGAGCAAGTTGAGCCATAAGCTGCCTCCATGCATAGTAGTTTTAACCCGGATAGTTTTTAGCAGGTGCCAGAAACATGCCACAAATTATACTTAATCAGTGCTGACGTCACAGGTCAGTGGTAGCACAGTGCTTTTCAAATGCCCTCACGCCAGTGCTTTACGCAGGTTTTTCAACCAAGATTCACCTTAAAAAAAGATTCACCTTAAAAAACTCTGGTGATCTAGGAGGATTGTTGTTTGTGGATACCTGAGCTGTAGCTGTAGAGGTGAAAGGAAGATGTTGGAGCGACACGTGTCAAGGATTCATCCGTGGCTTCCTGCTGCTGACAGGAACAGTGGCGTTGAGGCAAGAGGCCGAGTATCGCTGGCGTAGGCCTCTTCCATTGCCCGCCGCACCTCAGAGCCGGGACACTGATCGGTGGATAGGCGTGAGACAAACACTTGTGATTTTAATCGTATTGCATATAAAACTATATCAAAGTGCTGGAGGTGTTTAAAAATGTTGCATGCATTTGTTGATACCAATAATGCATGGGTTTTGCTCTAAATAGTTGGGATCATGTTAGGAAGGGCGAGTTCTGCACCCGTAACGATTATGCAAGATAGTGAAGGTCGCCCAGCTTTCCAGCCGATCGTACGATGACGTCACAAAACCAAAAGGGACATTGTCTCCAGGTGCTTGTCGAACCATTTTACCGGTAAATGGAGGGCTACAGGAATGCGGTTGTTCAAAATACATAGGGGTGAGGAAGGAAGGGGGAGGAGGGTGCAGAGGAAAAAATGGCTGAGCCTGCCTCCGAAATTCACTCCAACTAGTTTTCCCCCCATATTTGGCGCGGTTTCTTTTACAATTGGGAACAGTGGTGTGGTCTCTCAAAATTACGTTTGGCGGGCTGAGCCCCAAAAATTATGAATAATGGAAAAAGGGAAAAATGATAACTAAAAATGGGAAACTTCATCCCTGGTTAGGTGGCACGGTACCCTCACCCCTTAACTGAAAAGGAAATTTCACGCCTCTGGGTTGGTTATGTGAAGCATGCCTTTATTTGATGTTTTTATTAGTTTATTCTCAATCATCATGCAGTGTTCGATGGCCAGTAAGTGACATTTTCGCGCAAATGAGCTCCCGAAGCAAAAATGTTTGATGGCTATACCGCATTTCATTCCATTTGTCTTTGTTTTCGTGGTTTATTTCATTTAGAGTAGTAATGCAACGGTTTCTAAAAGAATTGGCTCCAGGTGACAAGTTATACGTTGCCAAATTTCGCCGCTGACAAAAAAGACACTTTTTCACCCCTGTCTTTTCGACCTATGCGTGCCGATGTGGGATTGGCTTGCTGTAGTTCCCCGCTTTTGCCCCTGACTAGGATGGCCTGCGGCCGGTGGCAGCTAGCGCGCTGAAGGCCACGCGACTCCAGCTGCAGTCGGATGGCGGGGCCGGCGCTTATGCGACAAGCGCTGCTTAACGTCCACACTCATCCTAGAAATGTACTCAATGCAAAGGTTTTTTATTACAACCGGCCGCCAGGCTCATTACAGATAATCAAATGATGGTGGGATTCCCTCATTGCTTTACTACCATCGTTTTTCGTGTTTTTTTTTTAGAGACGCTTCATTTTAATTCTTCCCTTCCTGGTATCCTTGTGTGTTTGAGTTTATCACCACGCACTGTTGAGCACCATACATAAACAGGCCAATTCCACCGCTTACCGTGTTGATCGTCAAAGATTGCCTTAGCCGGAGGCTTAAGATGTGGCTAGCGATAGCTGGTGATGAGTCCCTGGAGGCTCTATGGCAATTACCGCCATTGTAAATTTTAGCGTTGCCTAGCTCACTGGGGCAGCTGGGATTTTTGCGAGGGCCGTAGAGATTAATGCTTCCAACATTTTCTGCGCCACTGATCGGCCCCCATCCCACAAACGTTTGTCTATCTGCCTTTGGTTTTAGAAACGTAAAGACGACGTTTTTACGCTTCTAGCTCAATCTAACGATGTTTCGTCTAGCTGTATTTTTCGTGCTGGGAACGCAGCCAAGGCACGTACACATAAAGAAGCCCAATTCCAGTGCTAAGTGAAAAATCTGCGCATTTTTAACACCAGTCGCTTACTTTCAGCATAACAAGTGCGAAAATGGAATTTCTGAGTTAAAAGTCGTCAAAAGGGGAAACATGTATCGGATCAGTGTCTCTAAGACTGAAGCCAACCGCGAAAAACGAATATTTTTCGATTTTCCCATTCGTAAAGGGCGTGCGCACAAGACCCTTAGGCGCGCACTAGGCGCACACTGCTACCTATGTGAATCTGAATCTGAATTGTGTTGCGTGGAATGACGTTTGCCACGTATTCCCTGGATATTTTTTAGCCAAGACCGCTGTTGCGTATGCTGATGTCGGTGCGCGTAAAAGCCCTTCCAAAACGGCGGCGGCCGGCTATCACATTGTGAAACGCGCCGTAGTGTCTTTTTAGAATGTCATCCAAGACGACGGGGGATGAATTATGATTGAATCGTTTCGAAGAGAAAAAAGTACAGTTAAACTGCATTAAGTTGGCATAAAAGTTTGCAACAATAAGCAAAAGACCAGACGAATAAAAGCTCAGGCTATACAGTATATCAATATCAAACGGCACTTCCAAACAAACTGCGCACCGCGCAATGCCGGCCTTCCACTGAGTGTTACGAATAAGATGAGGTGTAGCACGTGCGATTGAAAACGCTGTCTCACAATGGCGCTTTGCCTGCGCCCCGCGCCTTAATGCCGTGATGGAGATTGCAAGTGAGCTTCGGTGGCTTTTCTAATGCGTCAAAACCAGTTGGGCTCTGCAGCTAAAGCGTTGGCTGTTGACGGATCGAGGGTTTTCGGCACAGAATACAATGCGCCACCAGTGGCGAGGCCTCCCCTCGATCATGTTTCATTGCAGCGACATGTTCTTCCAGTCTGGCGTATTCTGTCCAACCGTAAGCTACACAACCAACTGATGCCACCACTACAACTAATATAGCTTTACTGCTAGTTGTAGATCATTGCCTACGACTATGAAGTGAGGATCTAATAGATGAAGCTATTTGCTCATCATGCCAGGATAGCAGGATTGTCTACTTTTATTTTGTTCAAGGCGGGCTCAGCTCAAA